CTTTAAGTCACCTCTCCTTCATGGCTCATGAGTCTTCTGTGCAAGGCAAGAAGTGCAGCATGGTACTGAGCAGAACTGAGCAGGTTACCAACATCAGGGGAGTCAGAAGTGGGATGAAGGTCAGGGAGAGCAGCCCAAGGGCCAAGAAGGAAGGTGTAAAGGGAGAGTGAGGGGACTCACAGGGGCAGGCACATTTGGTCACTTTTCCTTTTCTACTCTTACACTCTTCTATATCTGTTGCTCAATAATAGCTTTAATGAGATACTCATATACCACGATACTTTTACCTTTTAGAATATACAATTCAGTAGGTTTAGGAGTATATTGAAAAAGTGCCATCTTTTTCACCACTCTGATTATAGACCATTTGACCACCAATAGAAACTCCCACACCCATTCATAATCATTCACTGCTCTCACTAGATCTAGAGACCACATTTCTGCTCTCGGTCTCTATGGGTTTGCCTGTTCTGGACATTTTGTATAAGGAGAAACAATCACATGTGTGCTTTTGTGATGGACTCCTTTACTTAGCAGAGTTGCCCAGGTTCCTGCCGTATGCACCAGGACTTCACTCCCTCCACGCTGCTTTCCTTACTGAATGAGCTCGGAGTTAAGTCAAATCACAAACTTCACAGCAGAGCTTTCCTAAGGAATCTGCCAGACAAGTCAAATAGTGATGATTCTTTAGGGATGAAGATTGGGGGAAACTCCAAAATCGTTCTGGTCCCTTCCATGGGTGCCAGGTTGCTGATCTCACAGCATCTCTGGTTTCAACATTGTAGAATTCTGAGGTTATTATGGGGATTAGAAAAGGGGGTGAGAATAGGACGAATTCAGATGCCACAAAACTAGATGGCCTTGGGAACAAAAAACCCTAAAACTTTGGTTAACTTCCACAGATCTGGAAAGGTCGATTTCTGCATTTTTCTCTGCTATGGTCTTTGTTTCTGTGGAGAGGCAAAAATGTGGTGTTTCCTATACCATCATCTGGAACATTGCTCTTTCCTGGTATTTCAAGGCTCTCTCTCGCAACTTGATTATAAAAGAAAACTTAGAAAGGACATAAACATTCATGGAAATAAAATAAGTCTGTCACATAAAAGTTTATCACCACCACTTGGAATATCATTCTTCTGTTTTATTCGTTTTCCATAGCATTTGCTGATATTTTCTGACTATAGTAGTGACCTAGAGTGAGGACTATAAAGTAAGTTTGCTGAGGAGTATTGTGTTAGTGTCTAACAAGAAGATGGATTTAGGGCAAAAATGAGTCCAAGTTAGAAAGCATAGAATAACGTAAGAGTAAAAGTTAAGACATCTTATAATTTCACTCTCCAGGAAAAATACTTGTGATTCACCACCAAGGCATTTTCACTATTCTAAGAATTCTTCTGTTTATTACACACCCTATAGTCAGTGTGTGTGTGTCTGTGTGTGTGTGTGTGTGTGTGTATTTATGAGTATATTTTAATTAAATATTTGTCATATGATTATATTTTTTATGAACACACAAAGACTATTTTTCATGTTTATATTTGGAAGTATAATATTCCACTAACTATGCATATAAATTTTCAACTTTATCAACTTTATTTTTAAAAAGGACATATTTTAATGAGGCACAATTTCCTCATCTAGGGCAGCTATGCCACTTCCCACTTAATACTAAAAATAATATTGCCTCAAATGTCCCTGTAAAGACTTTGCATCTCTGATCAGTTAATTGAGATAAATTGCTACAAGTCTTTTATAATTTGAAGTTTTAAAGTTTATAATAAGTACTTACACCTTTACAAGGATGATTACTAAGTTCAAAGCAGAAGTATCTAAACATATTTTCTGTATTTTCATTATAGAAAGAAAATTTGTAGAACTGTATGTTAGATTTGTGAATTTTCAAAAAGTGAGTACACTAGTGTGGCCATCATGCCAATCAAGGTCAGGATGATGTGGAAGACAATGACAGGACAGTACTGTGCTGCACTTTGTATCCCAAGTGGACCTCAAACTCGTGACACCCCTGTCTCAGCCTCCTGTGCTAGGATTACAGTTGGGTACCACTGTGCCTATCATAGTAGCTGAATTAGCTATGTATTCTATGAATAACTGTTATATGTCTAATATTGGAGTCGTTCCTGTGAAGACTAGATTACTAAAATCAGATTCGTCTGAGATTTTCAGTTCTCTCGTTTTCTGTCCTGGAGATGTGACCTAAAGTACAATGTTTAAACTTTCTGTAGCTCAAGTTCCTCATTCCTAAAATTAAAAACATCAGTATGTACTTCCCAGGATTGTAACAAGTGTAAAACGGGTTGAGCAGGTAGTAGAGTGCTTATACCATAGTGAAAACCCAATACATTTCAGTTCTTTTTTTCTTTTTTCTTTTTTGGCTTCCTACATGATACAGGCACTTTCCTCAAGATTTAATCAAAGGTAAGGTAAAAGAACAAGGACTTCAACAAATAGAGATCATGCACAGTTAAGTAGAGTGATGTGGAGTGGAAAAGAAAAACACAGCTTAGCGTTCTCTGTTATATTTTCATTTCATATGAAAAAATATTAATGTGTCAGTCATATATGCAATATTTAGTATACCTAAACTAATATTAAATGTCAAGATCCATGAAGCTGTGTTTAATTTTATAAATTTGATAATTGTTCTTAAGAGACAAATATGTTCTATTTGATTTGGAATGAAACATGGAAATTATCTTGCTTTGTGTTGTATTATTCTGTTTCCTGTGACTATAACACAAGACCTGAAGGAGGGTACTTGTCAATTGAAAGGCTTCATTTATCTTAGTTTTGGAGGTTGAAAGTTCAATATTAGGTAGACACATCTGTTTGGGCTTTGATGAGGGTTCTCTTGGCTATAGTACATGTCAGAGGATTGGAAGGAGCAGCTGTATGTGGAAGGGTGTAAGTACACAGAGTGGTCTTGCTTGCTCTCTTGAGTCTTTATAAAACTACACTAATGTCTTTGGAAGGGCATGCCCAGGAATCAAATCAGTTTCAATAGCCACCCACCCCCTAAAGTTCCCACTATCTTCTGTCACTGTACAACTAGGAATTGAGTTTCTAGCTCATGAGCCCTAACTTAGATAGTATCCAAGTCTTAGCATGAATTCTTTTTGAAGTGCCCTGTGTCTTTCCTGCATCTAATTTAACTCTATAGTTTCCTGTAGAGTCAGTATAATACTGTCAATGTTCTACTAACTTTTAGTACTATTTATTGATCAATTATTAGACAGAAGTAATAGTCTTGAAACCATTCTTGATCTCTGTCTTCTATTCCTCACCTTGATTTTTAAGTCACTGGGACCAATAAATACACAAATATTTGTAAGATTATATGCATGTTAAAAATGTAGTCATTATTTATAGTAGTCATTAAATGTCAGACTAAGTGTGATATAAAATGAGTATCATGTTCCAAAGAGATGTCCTTTGAGACAGGGGACCACAAAGGAAGAAAAGGTTGAGCATTTTGTGAGCACTGTCCCTCTAAGAGGCCAAGGCATACACCTCTTCCTCTCCTGGAATGAAGAATGTTTGCAGCTGGAGGGAAGAAGTTTGTAACAAAAAGGAGAGGCTGTATATAAAAACCACAGATGCACCCCAGTAGAGCCTGGGATAAAATCTGAGAATGTGAGCAATGGCTGTTTCAGAATTGCTGTATTTTCTTTCTGTGTAAGGATTTAGAAGTTAAACCTTATGTAATTCAAGAAGGGCAGAAAGACAGCACATCTGAAAAGAACAAAGGAGTGAGAATCTAGACAGGTACAAGGGTTAGAAAGGGTAAGGGGTGGAAAGATGTTAAGAAGAAATGAAGATAAATATAGGTAATGCCATGAAGGGACCAACACAAAGGGAGAGTTGAGTGAGTGAGAACATAGAATGAGTGAATGAAATCAAGACAGGATGGGAAATTCATGGAGCAGGAGCAGTAGATGGAGACCCTAACAAGGAAGAGTAAAGGGTAATAGTACTGGGCTTTGAAGGGATGGTCTAGGATATAAGAGAGGTTAAATTCTGTAAGTGAATGAAAACTGAGACAAAGAGTTACAGTGGCTGACAGAGAAAGTGGGGCCTTCGACTCCTGGACAGCATCAAGGGGAGTTATCAGTTTCCTTGTTCATTTCTTAAAGTATGGCAAAGAGCTGTCAAAGGGAGGCAGCTGGGGATACCTGGTCCTGACACCTGTTCAGTTCCTCGGGGGTCTCTGTCCTATCTAAAGACACAGATGTTTTCCTCCTGTTTTCTGTAGCATAGATCTGCTACCTTCGTTCTAACTGTTCTGTGCAGCAGGTAATTGTAGGAGAGACTCTCTTGTGAGAAAATTGTATGTCATCTATACATTGACACATCACACCTTAGGATAATTCACACACACACACACACACACCCCTGAGTGGGGGAAACAATATCTTTTTTTTTCCCATTTTTTTTTTTTTTTTTTTTGGTTTTGGTTTTGGTTTTGGTTTTGGTTTTTTGAGACAGGATTTCTCTGTGTAGCCCTGGCTGTCCTGGAATTCATTTTGTAGACCAGGCTGGCCTAGAACTCACAGAGCTCCACCTGCCTCTGCCTCCCGAGTGCTGGGATTAAAGGTGTGTGCTACAACCCAGTGGAAATAACTTCTTAAACTCCATTCTTGGATTCTGTCTCTTCTTCTCAATGCTTCACAAGAAAATTATGAGAAACTTGATCAAATTTCTAATTGATTTGTTATCCATCTTAGGCAGACTATGTATTACTAATGCCATTTACTATACTGATTAACACCTATGTACTCTTGGCAATAGAATAATATGGAAGTAGAATCCTTTTCCCCTCCTGAAATTTGTGTCTCTTTCTTTATGCAGTGGAGTTTGGGGCCCGGGAAGAGGCTATGCTGGAGACATCTACCAGTAAGGGGTGGCCTCATTACCCTGCATAAGGTCTGAGTTAAAATTTCTCTGACCTCGCAAAACTGTAAATAGTGGCTCCCACTTTGCAGCCCCCAGGGCCTTGTGTTTGGATGAGTTGCCCACATGAAGAACACGTGTGACCAGATCTATGCAGTGACTCCAACCAGGAGCAGAAAATGGAAATGCTGAAGTGATAGCAGCCATGACCACTCCTTGTTGGGCTGTACTCAGGTAAGACACGCTTCCTTGAGTTGTAATATCGACTGCGAAGTTGCCTTGTTTTTACCAGTTAATTAGGAGAGAGAGGAGAGAGAGAGAGAGAGAGACAGAGAGAGAGAGAGAGAGAGAGAGAGAGAGAGAGAGAGAGAGAGAGACCGTATGTGTTCAGATCTATAGTGTTCATCTCTTCTATTTTCTTCCCCTTGGTTTCCAGTGCTTTCAATGTTACACTAAGCTGCTTGTGGCCGCCGTGGGTGTTCATTTAAAGGAGGTGAAGTATTGGGCAAAGAAGCTTCGCTTAGAGTGTGGCACACGGGGACACTCAACTTGGTGCCTGTGTAGAGTCCTGCAGGCGCAGATGTGGTGTGACTTTTGTCTTCTCAGCTGGCCTCTTCCCTCCCGGGCTTCAGCTGAGCCGTGTGACCTGACTGTAACAGATTTGTTTTCAGTGGCATTTGGTACTTGGTGCTGGCTCACTGTTTCTGTGGGGGACGTGTCACGCTGAAGTCTGTAGGGGTAGCAGACTGTACCCCTCTTTGACATTATTACTCATTTCTTGAGTGGAGAATGTCATCTAGTGTCAACTTCCCCCATTTTTCAATGTGTCGGAGCTGGCTATGTCTCTTTGCCGTCACTCAAGCAGAAAGTACAGACTTCACAGACTCCCGGGCCGGGGTGGGAGGGGTGGGAGGGAGGGTGTTGGGCTTCCTTTTCCCTTTCTTTTCAGTATTTCTGACTTAATGTGAGTCCCTCAACCTGCCTGATGCCTTAAACAGCCGGACAGACTTGTTTTGTCCCAGCTTCACGGTGAGAAACCTCTTATTTTAAATGTTTGAGAATCTTGCAGGGCCTTTGGGTCGCATCAAACATAAAGACTTGTTGCTTTCGGTTTCTGCCCGTTACCCTGTGACACCAAGGCACAGGGTAAAACTTCTCAGTTTTGTTTTTAATGTCTCCCAAGGTCTCCGTGTCTTTCTCCCAGCATGTTCATGCATGAGAACATTTTCTATCTGCATTTTATTTGATCTTACACATTAGCTCAGTGTTTTGGTTAGATTGGGAGGGATGTTGGATGAACTATCCATTTCCTTTCTGTACGTGCTGGCATGCCTCATCACAGAGTTTCCTACAGCCCATGATGTCAGGTAGCCAGTGTTCTCTTGGCCTGCACCTGCGAGGTTACAGTTAACAAGGACATTTGGAGTTTTTTGTTTTCACATTTTTATTTCTTCCCTTCTGCTAGTCATTTAATACACATATGCGCTATTGGGTATTCCCATGTGCCAACACTGTGGGGGCGGGGGCTGCAGCCTAAGTCCTCTCACATGCCTGCAAACACTAGCTCTCCTTTTGTTGTGTGGCATGCCTTGGGTCTAGAGTTCTAAAGAACACATATTGGGACAGGCTGTCTAGGATAGAGAAGGCTTAATGCATGATTTGAAAAATAACAAACCCAGAGAGAGATTCTGCTCTGACTTTTTGTGGTCTTCTCAGAAGCCTGTCTAGACTCTGTAGCTCGTTTATACGCTATCTGGGATAGGCCTGCTCAGCAAGACGTCCTCAAAAGCCAATGACGGCCCATAGAGTCTGTGCTGGTTTCTACTCCGTGACCCACTGCATTCATCTTTCTGGTGTCTGGGAACAGATCTGAGAGGCAGAGTTGCATGCCGTCTAAGACTAACAGCCTCAGGCCCACTTGGTGCCTAGTAAGAGGAGTGTGCACATGGTGTTATGTCTTCCTCCAAGCTTTGCTCAACTGTCTTCTTCTCACTGAAGCTTATTCTAATGCCACTATTAAAATTAAAAACTGTACCCTTCCAACTGTCCACCCCCCAACTCTGCTCTTCCATAGGGCATACCTTTTTGTATATGTTTACTGTTTATGTATATATTTGTTTTATTTCCCTGATCCCTTTGGGTTATAAATTCCACAAAGGCAAGGACTTTAAAAAAATATTTTAATTGTTGCATCCTCAATGCCAATGAATAATCTGGTACAGAATAGATGCTTGCTAAGCAAATATCCTTGGTTGAACAAATGTGTGCCCATAACAATACTTATTTTACAGTTAAGGTCAAGGCACACTGATGTTCTGAAATAGCTTATGGTGACTGCTTATAGGTTTTTCAGTCTGAGCCCAACTCTTTATGATTACCTTCACCACCCTCATCACCTAATTCTTCTTGGGGGTTTTCAAGGGATGTTTCCTATGTACTTACAAAAAAATTCCCATTCTCGTCAGGAAGCCGGATCAGTGCCCAGTGAGCCCTTCCATGGCAGAGCTGGGTTCATGTGACACAGAGACCTCTGTCTTCCCTATGATATGAAGATTTAGAAGGCCCAGACAGGCATTATTTCCATCCTTTTCTTTCCCAGAGCATCACCTAAGCCTTCAGTGCTGTTTATAGCTCCGTGTACCAGAGTGGTGAGGATGTCTTGATTATTTTTACCACTTGATTTTGTCACTCATCTTCTGTGTGTGAATCCATAAACAGTGTGTATCTTTGCCTTGGGAATCTAAGTGATGAGTATAGATACTGCAATCTGTTAAAAGCATATCAGTGTCCATTACTTGACTCTCCCAGGAGTTGTTAAGCAGTCTCTAGACTACAGTCCAGATTTAATTTTCCTGAGAGTTTTCAGTCCCCCTGAGAGGACTGAATAGAGATCAGTGGGCAATAGAGATCCCAGCTGAGAAACAAGAGTCACCACAGTTGGGGTACCTGGCAGGGCTCCCATATGGATCAGGCTCAGAGCAGCTGACCAAGGAGATTGAGTGAGTGTCTATTTTGTGTTTTCTGTTTCCTTTTGTCATCTTCTTATAACCTTTAGGAGTCAGGCAAAGAGAGATTCTGCTGTTTGAAGGACCCCTCAGCTAGTCTAAACCGAAGCGAACGGGGGAGACCATACAAACAGCACTCAGCACATGATTAGAATAAGGCAAGGACAGGTAAGGGCTGAACCTGGCTTAGCAACATAATTCACACTCAAGTTTAAAGGCTGGGCATGGTGGCTCATATCTATAAATCCTAGCTGAAACAGGAGACTCAAAAGGAGTTTGAGGACAGTCTGGACTGCATAATGAACTCTACGTCAGTCTGGGCTCAGTGTGATACACTGTCTCAAAAAACAAAACAACACAACAAAACAGGCCCGCTCAGTTGAGTCAAGGGTCTTAGGAAAGCCATCTCTAAACCTATCTCCGGCATCCCAGTGCTTCACATTAGCCTGCTTCATTAGATTCTCGTCTCTTCCCAGACAGTGACAGTCTGTCCGCAGGAGCAGAGCAGGGAAGAGGGCAGCGGTCAGCCGGCGCCTTCCGCATTCACTAGGTACCCTTTCCTCTTTGCTGGGTCAGCCTGCTGCACCCACCGTCGAACCCACTGTTCCTTGAGATCTAGAAATCTCTGTGCTGTCTTTTCAAAGAATGAGTTTTATGTCAAGGTGGAGAAAGAAGTGTGGCGAGGATGAAGGAACCCAGGCATTCCAAACTCCCCTCAAAGAGTGCTCACTCGACCCTTATCTCAGAGAGCCGCCTCACCTTCAATTCCAGAGACACTGGCGCCTCCCGTTCCTGAGAACTCTGAAGATTCTGTCAGTGGTGTTAATTCTCTTCAGGTTTGTCCATTGTCCCCATGAGGTTTGGGTCTCTCAGATATCCAGTTCCTTATGAGTTGTCCATCTCTTCAAAGCATCTGCATTAAGTTACTTTGGTCTTTTCTCCTGCTCTACCATTCTGGGGGATTTGTCTTTTGAAGACATCCTTCACTGTAGAAACCAGTTTAAGGAATGAAAGAGATGAACACAGGAAATTTGCCACCTCATCCTGGACCCTTTAAGGAAGTCATCTCTCTCTAGAACCTTCTTTATGTTTTTCTGGGAAACTCATCTGTTGATTGGGGGAGGGGAATCATATTTTCAACCTGTTTTAAATTAGTTACATCTGAACATTTAAAATCACTTTAAGGAATGCTCTGTCTCTCTAGGAAGTAAAACTAGGTGTTCTCTTACCACTTCTCCTTGCTCCTGTGTTCCTACTTTAAATACTCTCCATACATCTTGATAAGGAGGCTTTGGGACCATGTTCTCTAGAACCATGTGATGTTTGTGTTTTTCTGGCTGCTGTTTGCCTTGCTGGCAAAGCACATTTCAGGGTAGCTGGTACCTTGATCTGAATTGTTCAGAACCTGTTAGTACCCATCTGCTGGCCTGGCTTAATTTTGGCTTTCACTGGCCATAATCCCTGGGGTCTCCACCATTTCTTCCAGTTAATCCACTTATCCACGGGTCTGCCTCGGCCTCTGCAGTATTGTTCCTGCGAATGTGAAGTCAGTGGGTGGTCTGTTGGACGTTGATTCCTCCCTGATACTCCAAGGGAAGTAAAGGTTGCTTTGGAAGCTGAGTTGGAGACATTCTCTCCACACTGAGTTTCTTAATTGTGTGTCCATACACTATTGATATGAGTATTATGCAGAAAGCTCAGAAGGGACTAGGCACTAGGCAGGTTTCACTGTCCCCAGGGTTAACTGATTATGAACCTCCTTTACTATGGACCAAACCCTGGAATGCAGGTAACCAGGACCCACATGGTTAATAGTCTTGCTCTCCTGCTGCCCTGATTTTTTTTTCCTTTTTAAAAAACAAGAGAATGGATGTTTCCAGGGCCATATCTTCTATTCATCTTGGAGCAGAAAGGCTCACTGGCTGTTTGCCAGGATCTATGTTCCCATCTCTGGGAGTGAGGCCTTTGATACGGGTATAATATTTTGGAAAGACTCTTTCTGGACAGTACAACAATGCCTTTTTAATGTATCTGTATTTCAGAGGTTGGATATTAGATAACCTTTTCTCTTTGCATTCTTTTTATAAAATATTTTGGTTCTTCCTCCCTGCAAAACAAAAAATGGACACAAGTCTGTTGCATTCAGAAAAAAAAGGAAAAAGAGAAAGGCAAGTAGAAACTTTCCAAGTGCTGTCTGGCTCGGTCCTGATGGAGTGACAGGGATGTAGT